CTCCCGGTACAAGAGAGATGTGGACGTACTGGAGAGTCCAACGCAGGGCCGCGAGGATGCTGAAGGGACCGGAGCATCTCTCCTACGAGGAGGAGAGGAAAGGCTGAGAGAGCGGGTGATCAAGGGAGCTTACGTGCCTCGGTCGCACACAGTCACCGAACTTCAGGTAGTTTTCCTCAAGTCTCTTAATCTCCAGGCAGATCCTGACCTTGGACTCTTTGCAGAGTCTCATTCATTGGACCTGTCTGAGCCATCTGCCCTGAGACGAGGTCAATGAGCGATTTCTAACAAGGGCCAGCGTCTCCGCAGGGCTTCTGAACGAAGCCTCTGGAGATGGATCTCTTCGGTGCTCGTCCCCGCAGAGATGTGTTTGATGACACAAATGGGATGCATCCAGGTTCTGGCTGCTTGCATAATAACTAATAACAGATACTATAATAAGGCTTCCAGTTAAATATTTTTTCTACTGGGTAAAGGCCTGCTAGCTATGTATCACAAGTCCATTCAATTCAGTATGCAGTAGAGAAGGTGCGAACTTTTCCTCAATAAGGTGGCATTCATTTTGAGTGTAAAATCTTATTTCTAATTGACTCTAGTGATGTTTTAAGACAAGGCAGGCATTTCAGTCTCTGCCTAGACTTTAGTCTGCAGCCACCGAGAGCACTGCCAAGCCTCCTGCTCACCCTGGGCTAGGCTCCATGGTAACAGACCATGATTTCATTAGGTTTATTACAGTACTGGGTGAGAAAGCCTCTCTCAGATATCCACCTTGCTGGATTCACATTTATCCAGTTTTCTTGCCGACCTCGTATCAGTTATTATTCGCTGCTGATTAAGACAAATGGCATGAAGGCTTTTAAGTCTTCAGCCACCTGGACACAAGTCCTGCTGGAATATTTGAGTAAAGGTTGGGGGGTATTCCTTCCCCTGCATATTGGATTAAATGGATAGACTTTCTTCTACAGTGCTCCCTACTTATTTACTGCTATGGAAAAAAATGAAGGTATCTTAAAGAGATGACTAAATAAGAAGGATGAGCTGTGCTTGTATTTTAGGATGTTTTGGGGAAGGGCCTGTCGTGGGGCTCACAGCACCCCACAGCCCGGCCCTGCTCCGGCCTAGCGAGCTGCCTCCTCAGGAAATGGCTGCCCGAGGGACACTCGCCTGTCCCCCCGAGGCCGGTGCATCGTTATGGTGCGCTGTGGAGCTTTTGTTTTTTCTCGCACCGCCACAGATCTGGACAAGAACCCCCTAACGCTGTGACGAACGAAACCCGCCGCCACCCTCCCGACCCTCAGCTACGGCGGCGCAAAGCCCGACGGGAGTTGTAGTCCCTCGGCCGCCCCGGCCCGCTTGCAGCCGCCGTCAGAAAACTACAACCCCCAGCAAACATCGCGCTCCGCTGGGCCCGCTGGGAGCGGCCGCCGCGGCGGGCAGCGCGGTGCATCCTGGTATATGTAGTCAAGCTGCCAGGGCGGGATGGGGTACGGCGGTGAGGGGAGACTCCATTTCCCGGCGGGCGGCGCGGAGCGTGGTAGGGAGGAAGGCGGTCAGCGCCGAGATGGCGGTTGATAAGGATCTGCTGCAGCTGGACCTCTACGGCTTGTTGGGGGTCGGCGAGAAGGCGTCGGAGAAGGAGGTCAGGGTCCGCGGGCCGGGAACCCTCATGGGGCTGCGGGGGGGGGGCTCGGACCGGGGCCCCCTCTCGTCTTTCCCTCAGGAGCGGGGGCTGTTGCCGAGGACAGAAGGCGGCTCGGACGTGGGGTTGTGTTTGCTGCTCTCTGGATATTTAGCTGAGCGATTGCTCCAGCCGCTGTTTTAATGTCATATCGCCGCCCTGGGCGCTGCCGCGTTGTCGGCTGGAGCTAGTCACTGGGCAAGCCCGTTTTTTTCTGGTGTTGACTCTGCTGCTCTCAACTTACCCTTCCGTTTCCCCCTCTGAAGCCTGTGGGGCGAGGCCGGCTTCGGAGGAGGATGAAATCAGTTGGAGAGAACTGCGAAATTTGTCTCGAGCGATGTTTCTCTCGCTTTGTTTGCTTATGTGCCTTCAGAAGGAGAGCTCCTACTGTGTGTACCAAAAATCTAGTTGTTAGAGGTGGGTCTGGGCACTGTAGGTTCCCATAAGTCATCTTGTTAACTTTGTGGGTTTGGAATTACACGTTTCCATTTTTTCTTTAATTTAATTGGTAAGTCAACACTGAACGTGAGGTTTGAGCAACTGAGCTGGGAAAGCGACCTTTTCAAGGGAAGTAGGGCTCTGAGTAAAACCATTAGTAACTGAACAAAGCTAAACTTGAAAGGCAAACTTTCATTTTGCTCCTTAGGCTTTCTTTTGGGTGTTTTGTTTTGTTTTTTCTTTTCTTTAGCAGTAAAGAGCAGTAGCAGTACAATAGGGTAAAGATTGGAAGCTACAGCCTGGGCATAACCAGCAATTGTGTCTGAGGCTGCCTGGAAATTCCATGTGTATGAAGCACAAAGCAGGGGAACAAGCCAAATGTAATGCACAGGATTGAATGAGATGAAAGACTTCAGGTGACCTCAGCTGAGGTGACCTGCTGAGCTAGTCACTGGGGGAAAAGGTTGATAAAATTACGGCTTGGATGTTATGGTGCAACTTAAAAAGTGATAAGTGTAATTTAGAGTGCTAATCCTTGATGTAAAAGACTTGAACCAACACAAAGACCCTTTGTATGCAGAGCAGCATAGCCAAAAGAGATGAACAAAGGGGAGCAAGGCTGTCAAAGTAATTTAACCTCACTGTTTAGAGAAGCCTTATCTGAACTTTCCACGTAGAATGGTTATTGCAATAGTTGTGCCTGATGCACAGGGAGGAGGCTTACCTCTCTCTTAACTGGAGCCTTGCTTAGGCAGGAGATAGGATTAGGCCTGTGAGGCTGCGCTGCACATTTCCTTTCCAAGAGCTGTGTCCACCAGGTGGTGCCGGGCCACTACTTACTCTGCTCTTTTTCCACAGAGGACTGCTTGGCAGTGGAATGGAGCAGCTTTTCTTCCTTTCCTTTCTTGCATGCAGATGCGTCCTTGACAAAGGGAGCTCAGATTGTTAAAAGTGACTTAGCTCAGAAAGTTGTCAGTCTTTCTTTGAAGTGTAGATGAGATTAAACAACCTTTGGTCAAAAATTATTCACCTTGCCAAACTCAGGTGTGGCACAGTAAATGGTACTTTCTCTGCCCCAAAGTTACGGCTGCGAAGAATGCAGTATCCCCCTGGCTAGAAAACTGCCTTGGTGAACGAGACTTGGTTTTGATGATCGTGAGGTTTGACTGCTGTAATACAGTGCACCTAGAAGTAAAACTTCTGGCTCTGAAAAGCTTAGACTCATTCAAAATATGGCTGCCTGCCTACTAAGTGTCCTGGGCTCAAATGCTTATCCTTGCGGTACAGTGTGATTAAAAAGGACAGGTCACTGTGCTGAGGTTGAAAACTGAGCTTTTCAGAGGTCTCTTGCTATTACAGTAGGCTGCTTTACCTTTCGATAGGAGGATGTAATGGAGCTATTGTCACTCCAGAAAGTGTCTTTATTTTCTGTCAGGCCTGGGGGAAATCTAGTCATGCAAATGAATGCTGGTTCAGCCACAGCCTTCTACTTATGACAGGGAGGTGTGGTTTAAGTTGAGCAAAACGAACAACAAAAACAACAAAAGAAACACTCTGAATAGTAATTTTTTTGTTTCTGCAGTGTTTTGTTTTGTTTTTTTCCCAAGTTGCTTTTCTCAACACAGGCTAAACAGCACCAACCAGTAAATATCAATTCTGGCTCTTGCAGGTTAAGAAAGCATACCGGCAGAAGGCCCTGACTTGTCACCCAGATAAGAACCCAGATGATCCCAGAGCAGGTGAGATGGGGCTGTGTGGACACAGACAACTCTTCATGTTTGTTTTCACATGTGCAGACTCTTCGAAGTGGCTCTGCTTAACTTCAGGTCTGTCTTTGCACGTAATTATGGGAATGCCTGGGTATATGTCATGTGAAGTTGTACATAGGCAGGACTAACAATTATTTTCATAACTATTAGAGAGCTCTGGTTTTTGAGGTTGAATGCGTACATGTTGATTTTAGAAACATCAGTGATAAGTCAGTGCTGAAATTATATTTGCACATCTCAGTCTTCCCACGTGGTACGTGAATCCCAGACCTTTGGCCATGCTGTCCCCAGTGTTAACTGGCTGGTCGCTATTTCAATTCATACCTCACAGTCAAAACTTAAATAGCAAGCTTATAAATCATATTATCTGTGGGCGATGCCCATTTCTGTCTGTTAGAGACAAGGCCCTGACTGTGTGGGACTGAGTATACCTAAACTGTTAGCAAGGTCTGGCTTCTACAGCTACTCTGGTTTTGGGTTTTGTAGCTATTGGTAGCAGTGAACAGCAGTGGTAACTAGAAGGATGCTGTTCATCAGGACACCTCAAAATAAACATCTTTCTGTATCTTGCATTTTCCAGTTTGATGGGCTACAGTCTTATAGATTGAAAACTTATAACTGTAGTACAGAGAATTTTTCCATCAGAAAAAAAAAGATTTTTAGCAGCAGTGAGAGGAAAGCCAGGGGCTTTGATAACTGCAGAAGGTTGAGAAGTGATTTGAAGTGTGTGGGGAGGCCTCCGGCTTATATGTATAACCTTCCAAGAAGAGGGTCAGCAATGTTGATGTAAAATGCAAAGTTTGAATCTTGGGCTGAAAAGCTATTGATATGAAACGGAGAATTTATTTGTAACAGTGTATTTTGGGCTGACTGCAGGTTGAGTAGTACATTTCTGTAGAGGGGTTCTGTTGAATTCATGTTTTCACGATTTCTGTTAAAGTGAAATGGTCCCAGTTTTTGTTTCTTAATTCACACTGAAGTTTATGTAACAAATGTCGTTAAGTTGAGGTGGTCCTGGCTATAGGTTGGCTTACAAATGCTTTGGAAAGATTATTCTTCTTTCTGATGTTCTGCAGGTCTCTTCCATAAGGGATTGTCTTTTCTGGTGCATCTCCAGGCCACTAGCATGGTTTTCTGCATCTTACCCTTTTTTCTTCTAATTCCCAGCGGAAGTCTTCCACCAACTGTCTCAGGCCTTAGCCGTGCTAACAGATGCAGCAGCAAGGGTAAGGATGCCCATCCGTTGGTGATGTTGGGATTGTGTGGTGTTACTTTCTGCAAGCATGCTGGAGAAGTGTTGGAAACTCTCTTACTGTCTGTCCTGCTCTCTTTGATTGTGACTTCATGAATGCAAGTCTCCTCTGTTATTCCCTGTAGTTCTCTGTGAGATCAAGTAGTGGGTGCCAGATAAGAACTTGGACAAGTGTTCTTTTTCTGTGCTGGGTGTAGCTCTGTCCATTTGCTGCATGAGTGAGATACTGTCTTTAATAATGTGTTAGACTGGGGCATATCCCACTTAAAAAAAATAAATTATAACTACCACTGATTCAGGGATGCATTAAATTCCCGTGACAGCGGTGCATTTGCGGTTCCCTTGAAGTCAAGGTCTGACAAATAAGTAATATCTAGATGTGATTGCTAAGGCTCAAAGCCTTTCTTTCCATGGAGGCACAAGAGACTTGTAAACAGAAAAGCTGAATCATAGTCATGATCTCTGTCCTTTTGCTGCAAGAGCTTTGCAGGCTGCCAGATGTAGCTTGGACTCTTTTCTTGCTGTCAGGAAGTGGCTGAGTGCCTACTGCTCAAGGCCTGAAAGTAATCTGGACATGTGAAGGGAAAGAATAAAAACAAAATAAAAATGAGCAAGTAACTCTGTCCGGATAAACTCGGGAGAGAAGGCATGTTAAAGTTTCAGATTATAAGATTTAAAAACGTGAAATAACTCTCCTCTTTTCAAACATTGGCAAAGCTTGTAATCTCCCCTCCAAGGGGCAGTTAAGCTTTGGCATCCAAGAACTTTCTGGCTTCTACATTTTGAAAAGGAAAAAGTGTTTAGCAAACCCTTCCTATGCAGGAAGGAAAAATATTAGCTTTTCTAGTTTATAAATCAAGACCAGTGCTTTCCTGTACAACTATTCTACAAGTAATATTTGAGCATTTGTGCTGGTCTGTGCTTTACCTAATACAGAAAGGTTCTGCGTAGGTTGATGAACAGATTATCAACTGTTTTAAACAGGCGCCAGTGAAAGTGCCAGTTCACCCCAATTAATAAGTGAGTTCTTTCATGATATTTGCGTTAACTTCCAACACTTTTAGGTGGAATGCTAGCAAGAAGCAGAAAATGCTTTACCTCTGCTTACAGTGTTTCAATGTCTGATCTCGCCTTTATTCACTGCTTTCCATTTTATCTCTTCTGCTTTACATAGTTTTGCACTATTGTGTCGGTTCTTTGACAGGCGGCGTATGACAAAGTGAGAAAGGCTAAGAAGCAAGCTGCAGAAAGGACACAAAAACTTGATGAGAAGCGAAAGAAAGTAAAGCTTGGTAATAAAATCAAAACTTTGTTTTCTCTTGGCTTGAAGTCTTCTTTAGCTGGGTGTTTGTTTCTTCTACTGCTGGAATTCACTATTGATTAATCTGCTGCCCATTTGTGATGGCTGTGGTTTCTTTGTGCCCGGTACAATAGAGCAGCCATCTGAAATCTCCCACAGTCATAGCTGGGGATGGTCCTACTCTGGGAAGGAATTAGGGGCTTTGAGTGTTAAGACTGCTGATACATTGATGTGCCTGGGCAGAGGAGAGGTAGCAGAGCTCTTGGGACTCTACTTTGAAATTGGTGTAGGCATAGCCAAGTTTGTGATCTTTCAATCCGCCTTTGGTCAGCAGTGAAAATTCTCTTTGGATTGTTTTGATTTTGTTTCTTTGCAGATCTTGAAGCCAGAGAACGAGAAGCCCAGACTCGTGAGAGTGAAGAGGAGGAGATCAGGATAACGAGATCATTAGAACAAGAAGTAATGATAAATTCTTAGATTTCTCTGCTTCTTTTGAGAAGAATTGCTGAAAGACTTTACAGTCATAATGAAAACCATGTGATGAGATGCAGCAAATCTATGTATGGCAGTCCTTCAGCCTTTTGGATTAATGGGCTCTATGCAAGAGAGGCATGTAGATGGGGTCTTGTAGCAGTCTGGCAAATGAGTCAGTCTCAGGATTTTATTTTTTGTCTGCCCTTTTCCTTTTGCATAGCAGACAATAACAACAGCTGATTGGTTAGATGCTGGCTGATAAGGGACTGTGTCACTAGGATCATGAGGGGTCCATTTTTATGAGCGCTGGAGCTGTCGTAGGGGAACTAGCAGGAGGGTTGCCTCAGGAGATGGGTATATGACAAAAGCTCTCCTTGGCAGTCTTTATCTGGCATGAACCAACCATGGAACTGTGCCCTCAGATATCTGTGCTGTCTTACCTCTGCTGTAGATAATACGCCTACGTGAAGAAGGCTCCCGTCAGCTTGAGGAGCAGCAGAGACTCATTCAAGAACAGATCCGGCTTGAAAGAGAGCAGCACATCCAAGGTGAGAACAGATGAGATTGGAGCCCTGAGCCAAACTACATGCATGTGGGACTCCAACACTTCTGTAGACAGAGCTCACATACAGATGCAGCCTTCTGACTTGGTCACGTTGCCATATATAGGATCCTACTTAGCACCTTTTTCACGGATAAGTCAAAAGACTAGTATTTCTGTGGTGTTGCTTTCTTATATGTGGCATGCTCTTCTTTATGACATTGTTGCTGCTTCTTTTCAATAAATATTCTAAAGCATTGAATCTGGATGGTCTGATGTGGAACCCCACAGTTATGCTGGAGAGAGCCTAAAGTCCTGGTTATCTGTCACAATTAAAGCAGTCAGTGTTGCAGACTCTAAATAGGGAATGACTTGAGTTTGCAAAAAATAATAGTTGTCATTGGGTTACTACTTCTGTATCCCCTTGAAAGTTCTCAGTACTTACCACCCAAAAGAGACTCAGTGTGGAGAACAAAGTTTTGTTTAGTCTATGGTTGCTGAGGCTTTACTTTCTGGAACTTGATTCTCTCATGTTGCTTGGGCATACACAGTCTTCATCCCAGGTTTGTACAAAGACCAGCAACAAATCTTTCAGGAAATGAGCAACATACTGAACTGAAAAACATCTGCATTCAGTGCTGCAATGCAATAGGTAGTTACTGTATTTGAAGTTGTCTCCCTCTCATTCTTGTGGGCTGTTCAGTAATTTGTCTCCTTCATATAGGAGGTGATGAGATTTTTCCAGAATCTCATCCTTTGGTATTCCTGAACCTCACTCGCATTCACACATTTCTATAGTGAATTGCCTTTTTAAATATTGTGTATCTGTGTGGGCTTAAAATACAGTTTTATGTTTCAGAAAGTTCTGTTCTTTGTTTCAAAACTAGGTAGAGTGCTGTTCAGGTTTTCAGTTCAATGGGAAGATTTTATTATCTCTTGCTTCCTACTCCTTTCATTCTGGCAGAGGCTATAGTATAAGATCTGTTGCTTTTTCACAGGAAAAATATTGATCTAATGAGTGGGGGAAAAAAAAAACCCACAACAAACAAAAAAACACCACCAGAGGTCCAGATGCAGAAACTCTTTTTGGGGTCACCAGGGGTTTCCTGTATGACTGTAAGTCAGTCATTCAGCCCACCCTAGCCTTTCTTAATTTAATTTCACATATCAGGAATTGGGGACGATGTTGAGCATTTGCTTAGTGTAAAATATTCTGAGATCCTTGCTATGAGAGCACACTATTATAAAGTATTTGGTTGCAAGGCCAGGCTAAATTCTTAGGCTATGGTATCCTGTTTCTTGTCTACCCTTAATTTTTCCACACTTGTTCCCACCAGCACAACTCTCTTGCAGGGAAAAATGTTGCGGAATCTAACAGATCTCCTGCTTGTATTTTTGCTTAGCTGTTTCTAGCCTTGATTGTGGCAAGTCTGGGCATCATAGAAGGGAAAAATGCTGACATCCAATATCCAGTCTGTACTACAGTTCCTGATAATAGTGTTGCACAAGACTTTTGGGGCTGAAATGGTTTAGTAGAAATCCAGAAGTGTTTGCTATTGCCATATGTACATTCTCAGGGTGAATTTTGTGCTAAATGCTCTTTAGCCGAGGAGTTTGCACCCATGTCCTTTCCATCTTTTCCCCCCCCCCTCTTTAGGCAAGCAAGAAAGAAATGGAGCAGAAGGCAAAATAACTCCTAAACTCAAAGTAAGACATCCTTATAAAGCTGGGTTTTGGTGAAAACTGATAGAACATTATGCACCTTTGTAAGACAGAAGGGACACTTCAACTCTGCTGAGTTGGCTTGTCCCTTTGTACAGTGGAGGTGAAGTGCCACTATATAAAGTGCATCATGCACGTGAACAGCTCCTGTCATTGCCTTTAAAATACCCTTCCTCCCTCACTCTGTTCTCTACTGTCTGGTCTAGATTTTTGAGCCTGAAATGGAGTTGTCTCTGCTTTAAGCACAGGGAAACAGCTGATTACCCTCATATAGCCATTAGTATGCTTTCAAGTATGATTTTTTTTTTATTCCAGTGAGCAATGTTTCTCCCTGTTCCCCAAATAATTTGTTCCCTTTGCACGTTCTGGTGTTGAGATCACTGTCTTGGGAATTCTGGGAGTGTAACTGTAAATAGCAAACTTGATTAATGTGCAGGTGGCAGGAGCTGCATTGAGTATGGCAAAATGTGTTCAAATGGACAAAATTAACTTGTCATGTTTATTTACCAGCTAAAATGGAAATGCAGGAAAGAAGATGAGACGAGAGGAGGGTACTCAAAAGATGTTCTGTTGCAGATCCTGCAAAAGGTCCTGTCTGACACTCTTTCCTACTACTTGATCTTCCTCTTCTCTCAATGGTATAAGAAAGGATAGTAAATTCTGCAAAGCTACATATAAACTGGAGTGGCTCATTTTCTTCTCTGTTGTCCAGCTTTCTCATGCAATTTTCAGAGATCATCAGCATGATCCATTAGCTCTGAACTGTTCCCCAGCTAGCACCTCTGTCTCACTCCCAGCAGGGACTCCTGCTGAAACAGAGCAACTGCAAACTCTTCCCACTGAATGGTTCACACCCTGCATAAAAGTTAGTCTGACTGTGTGGTTATTGTGCACTTTTGCCTTCACTTAAAACACTGTACACTAGCTGCTGTGGGAAGTTCAGAGACAGGAATAGACAAGCCTTTGGTCTGATTAATCCCAGCATGTGATCATTATTTTCCCTTCATGCAAATATCTCCTGTAGCTCTGACTGAGCTAAGCAGCCCTCTTGCACTGTGGCTTGCTGGAAGCAAAGTGTGTAGCTGCATGCCTCCCCAGAATTATTTCCTGGAGGGACAGAAATTATGACAGGTTGGGATCAGTGAAATCATGATGCAAGACAGAAAGGGTGATGGCTCAAGCCTCATGTCTGTGAAAACACATGTTTTCTCTTTGCATTTGTTCCATAAATGAACTTGACATCTCTTCTGGGTCTGTAATTAACTTTTCTTTCTTTCTCTGTCTTAACAGTATGGCGATGTGCTTAATTTGTTGATCTCAAGTAGGAAGACTGGGAGCGCAGTCGTGGAATTTGCTACAGTTAAGGCTGCTGTAAGTCTGGCGGAGACCCCAGATGTGTGTAATGGAGGGTGGGCAAGAAGGGGTGTTGCAGAAGAGAAGGGTTAGCAAACTGGCGGCCTACAGACACTGCCTTGTCATTAAGGCAGTGGAGAAGGGTAATGAGAGTCTAAAGGTACAGATGCATGAAAGGAGTGACAAAGCTGGAGGCATAAACCCAGAGCAGATCATGCACATAAACAAGCAGGCTGTGCATGTAAAAGGCTGAGGAAAGAGACACTGCTTTAAAAAGCAGGCACTGAGCTATTTGATCAGCTCTCACTGAAGGTGAATTACCCATTGTAGAAATGGGCTTAATGAGTTTTAGAGGTTATATCGGGCATTTGAAGTTTAAAAGAAATCAAAATCTCTTGACTCACTATGAGTTATAATAATTCATGTGGCTGTGGAAACAGAAATCATCAGTTACCCTTAATTTTAGTAGTTCCATCAACGTAAAGTTATCCTGTACAAGAGTGTCTATTCCTTGTCACCTGTTCTTTCACTCATATATCCAAATAATCAAAAAACCCACCAGAATTGTCTGTGACCTGTTTATCAAAAGTACTGGCACTGATATGTTCTATCTATGCTTAATGCAGATGTGGACTTTAAAGGGTGCTTCTCATGTAGGGCAGCTGTGAAATCTTCATTGTTTGTGCTCTACTTGGCCTTGATGCCAGGCTGAGATGGAAAAACTCTTGTGATTGTTAGTGACCTGTGAGGGAGTGGGGTCTGAAATTCAGATGGTGATGGAAGAATATTTTCATTGTTAGGAGATGGCTGTGAAGAATGAAGTTGGCCTGATAAATAACCCTCTAAAGATTTCCTGGCTGGAGGGCCAGCCCCGGAACAATCCCAGCACTGTGCTTTCTGACAGCACTAGTCAGCCTAGGACTTCACAGGTAAGGAGATATAGGCTGCTGTTATTTAAATCTGTTTCTATAGCAACCTAAATTTAACAGTGTGCCTTGCATTTGTAGTAAGATATGTTGATTCCCAGCAGAGCTGAAAAGGAGCTCTTAATGAAAGTCTTGGCTTTCTGATGAGCCTTTTCATGCTGGAGCAGTGGCTTTTTTTAAAGGATCTTTTGCCTGAGTAGCAGCACACTGAGAACACAAGCTATTTGGATGACTGGATCTTCACACAATCTGACTCTCTCTCTTCCAAGTGAAAAATGAGGATGTTCCTTGCTCAGCCCAAAGCCTCTAATGCCATTCTTCTGGAATTTTTTCTAATATACTTTGACTGTGGGAATCTTCTGGCTGATAGCTGGTTGAAGGGGTCTCCTAGAAGGTTTCTTTGAGAGGTTTGGTTACTCACTGCATTCACAAGAGGATGAAATTTCAGTGCTGAAAGGAAACCTATATTTTTAGGGTCTGCAGGAGGGAAGAGAAGGCAATATCAAATTAAATATCCTTGTAGAGACCTTATTGTCTGGTTTGGGTCCTCTTTACTGGTATGGTTACTTTGAGCGCAAGGTGTTTGTTAACTCTTAGCTGCTTCCTGTTTATTTCACCAGATAATCCCTCTGAAGCTGTTGGTCTTGTATAACAAATGTATTCCAATCACAAAACACATGGAAGGCAATAACATCTAGTGGTTAAAACATAGAAACCAACCTGAGGCCATGCTGCAGCAAATTGTTGGCTCTCTGCAGTGGGAGATGTATCCACTTCTTTTGAAGCATGTTACATTACACTTTGCTCTGTAGCACAGAATTTATCATGTCTTCTGATCTAGTTAGTAATTCCTTTGCTGCAAAGGGACCTGAGATCCTTTGCTGCTTATTTGAGTTCCAGTTCAAACTTCATGTGACACATATTCCCCTCTCCTCATTCCGTGTGGTATAAAGATCAAAAAGATGTAATTGCTGAGAGGACTCCTGCCTCATGCTCTACAGGTCCCCTTAGTCTGTGTCTTGATCAGCCTTGTGTGTGTTCACTACCTAAATATTTTAGCAGCTTGTGAGATTGTTCAGGACATCCACTCTCCTGACTTTTTGTTAACTACTTTATTTATAGTAGATGCATTTATACATCAAAATGCCTTGTTGTTATCCTAGTTTTGTTTAGGGTTGTATGTTTTCACTTGGGATGCATGTTCTTTGTCTGGACAGTCTGAGAAGCATAGTTTCCCAGAAACCTCAAGCAGAGGCAGTTATAACGTCATAGCCCAGGAGCCAGACAGATCTCCATGCACAATGTAGAACCAGTGAGAGTCCTGCAGATGCAGCAGATTCACAGAGGTGGCCAGAGTGTTAGAAGGTAAATTGGGGAAAAAAGCAGAATTCAGTCCAGCTTATTTGAGTATCTCGCTAGTAGAGAATGAGAACTGGCTCATTCATACCTAGGGGGGTTGCTGGTGCAACTGGAGCTTGGTGTGGATTCTTGTCTCTGGGTTCAAAAGCTTGGCCAGGCTTTTCACTGAGTTTTGACTGAGTTTATCTTGGCTTGTGTCCATGACCAAAGCTTGTTAGTGTGGAACTGCAGCGTCTGCCTGCTGTGAAGGATTAGCTTGGTGGAGCAGCAAGGGAGAGCAGGCTAAAGCAGCAAATGGTGTTCATGCTGTGTGGAGGTAGTGACTCACTTCTGTCCAACACAGCCTTGTCAATCCCATATTAGCTCTCAAAATGGTGAGGAGTTATGGCCAGTGACTTGCATCCTTTCCCAAGAGTTGCACTACTGATGCTTGTCTGTCCTTTTCTACTGTTTTTATGTGTGAGCAGCTGCAATTTCTTTGGTTACATTGCAGTCTTGCTGTCCAGGCTAAGATCTCCAGGCTGCTCTGGTTCCTGCTTTTCCTACTTCCTACTCCAGACCCTCCCCAAATCCTCCTGATGCTTCCAAAATCTGTAATTTGGTAATAGCTTCTCTTGGCTGTAGTGCTTCTAGTTGACTTATCCTCTTTGTCCTCAGCTATTCAACTCTAGACTATACAATATTAGGTCTTTTCAGATATCTTTTACCACTGCCGCAACCTACTCCTTGCCTCATCCTTTCATACCCAGTCTGGCTTCCCAGCCATCAGGGTCCACATTCTTGCTTTCAAGCTGCACTAACCTCATTTTGATTTAAGCTGCCCTCACTTCCTATTTGCTGCTCCCTCTGGGTTGCTCCTATTTTAGTCTGAATCCACCCCCGTTTGCTCCTGCTCTGCAAATGCAGCTCCTTCCCTGCTCTGCTTCAGAAAACAGCCAAAGACCTGCAGTGTTCTCATGGCAACGCGCTCACTACTCGCCCACTTCAGAGCTGTGTCTGCTCCCTGCCTGGGGTAGTCAGCCAGGAGCTGTGCACCAGAGCCTTCAAATAAAGGACAGCCATGCACTAATTACACCAGGGGAGCTTTGGAAGCAGTGCCCAGGTGAAAGCAAGGCTGATTGTTCAGAAGTTGCGTTGTGAGGAGGCAGTAAGTTGCAAGATACTTGCCTCCACAGTTTTGGTTGGCTTGTTTTCTTTGGTGCATGTTGTCCAGCAGTTCCTGGAGAGCTGCTGGAGCCAAACAGGTGAGTTATGCTATGGATTGGCCAGTACTACTCTAGGCTATTTTAGAGCAATGGCTATTTGATTGCTGCAGCTCTGAATGGTTCAAAGCACACAACAGCTGTACAAAGCTACGAAGAGCATATTTTTGCCACGACAACAGCATAAAGTACTCGCTTTTGGGAAGGTCTTCCTTGCACCTTTAGTAGTGGGATCTCCCTGCCAGTGCTCCTCATTCATTTTGGGCCATTCATTCAGCCACATTAAAGTGCTGAGAAAAGCCTTTTGTCTGGCACTCCTGCATCTTTCCTAAGCTCCTTTGAGGTTTCGTAGAGTTTGTTTTATATTATCTGACTTTACAGCCTGATGTGAATCTAGTAGGTTGAAAGCTGTCTGTGCCTTCTCTGAAATGTCTCTGTGTACTTTGCTGTAGCTGGCTTCCAAAGCTTGTGCTTATCTGGGTGCATGGAGGGGTTTTTTTTGTTTTTTTTTTTTTTTAAAAAAAAGAACCCTAGTATCTAATCTACCTATGAAAAAGGTAAGAATTGGTGACCCAGTAGTTTCTGCAGTGTCCTTTTAATAGCTTGCCCTGATACTGCCTAAAATGTTCTCAGCCTGGCAGAGCCCTTCCCACTGTCCAGCTCACGGGCTAAAGAACTGTTCATTCCCACGCTGGGTCTTGACCTGAACTGTGTGCAGTCTCCTCAGGGGAAGGTAAAGTACCAGCAGCTCTAGCCTTCTCCCAGCCCAGAAAAGCAGAGCCACACTGCTTCCCCACCCTCATAAAAACCTGAAGTGCTAGAGAGGATGGATCTTGATCACTACAGATGAGGGACCTGTGCTCTTGGTGCCTGGGCTTTTTCTGGCTTGCTACCAATGAAATGAGGCAACAAGACGTTTCCAGTCACAGATACATTTATTCTTCCATATCTGTACAGCTGATAGATCAGTGCATGCTTCAGGCAGCAGTATCTAGAGAAATGTCTTCTGCTAGTAGGATAAATTGCTGTTGCTGTATTTCGAGACTATATGGATGCTTACCTGTTTCCAGGCTGGGAGTGCCAACTGCACTTGAGTTAGGGGAAAAGAAACCCACAAGAAAAAAAAAAAAAGGGGGGGGGGGGGCCGGCGGCTTTCATTTTTCACATCCAAACATGGTGGCAGAAGAAACACCAGTTTCTGTCTCTTGACCCTTGCCATAGCTATGGCTTTGAGAGGCAATGCCACTGCCTCCTTGCAAGCTCCCTGCTTATCCACAAATGATGTATGCCATATCCCTTTCTGTCCATGTTCTGCAGTATCACAGTCACATCCCCAAAATAACAAGTCTTTTGCCATGCAATGCCATTCTTCCATGAGGAGGAGGAGATGCACAGTCAAGAGTGGGAAATTCCCAGTGTGGAGAATGGAAACTTGCCCACGAGGTTCCAGCAGAGACATTGCTCTCATCTGAGCACAGAGCCTGTGAGCTCTGCTCCAAAGGACTCCTTGGCAAGGACAAGGACAGTCTGTGGTGGGTTAGGTGAGAACAACAAAACAGGCCACACACAACAGGAATGCTGCAGTATCCTTCCTCCTGCTAGGACTAGAGAAACTGGCAGCAGCAGTAAGTAAATGTGATATGTTAAATGATAAATACCTTCAAATGGCGTAATCTCTTGGATTCTGTTTCCTGAGGGTCTGCAGAACATCCTCAAGAAGTGATAGCCCCAAATCCACTTTGAAGGATAGGAAGGGATCAGACAGGTCAGAAAGAGTGGTGCCATTCTGGGAACCTGTCTCTGAGGTACCGCAGTCTGTAGCCTGGTCCTTGTGGAATTGAGTTTGAGTAGCTTTGTGGTATTGATGAGTAGCACCAGAAAAAGAGATGTCAGAGTGAGAATCTGTGTGATCTATGATGTTAGGGCAGCTAGAACTGTCCAGGTACAGCCGGGGAGGCTTGGGAGGTGCTTGTGCCTTGGCTAGGTTTTGCTCACTCTGACATGACAGGTAATCAGACTTGTCCTTCAGATCCCTCAAGCATTCCCTCTTCTGGCACTGTCCATCACTGTCCAGAGTGTGGCTGTTCTGATTCAAGATGATGACTTGGTTGCCCAGCTTTTTGTGTCTCCTGAGTGAGAAACGTCTGAAGAACGTTGTGGACTTAATGGACCCTCTCCGCCAAGTATCCATGCTGATGAAAGGCAACAAGAAGAAGGAGACTGCTGACTCTTCACAGTCAGGTGTTGGACTTAAGTCGCAGGATCAGCAGCAAGTCACACAACAGGAACAACCTCTTCCTTCCCTGTTCCTGTAGCTGGGAGGAAAACAGAGAGGCTGGTATTGCAGGAAATGCAAACTTCACACTATGTCCCTGTGTTAAGGAGCAATTGCCCTGTCTTAGATATTAAGGAGTCTCCTTATTCAGTGGAGAAGGAATGGCGATGTCTGAGCTTCTCAAATCTGTGCTGCAGAAACAAGCTGATGAAGAACAGCAAAGGCACACAGTCACCATGAGAACAGATTTAATCTAGCATCTAGAACAGAAGGGCACTTTGGTACCATGGTAACCAGCCACCTTCATGGTGAAGGGCACAGTATAAAAATCTTAGTGGGTGGTTAGGAAGAGAGATGGTGACTCAGTCACACTGAAGGAAACCATAGAAATACGGTCAAATGGAATTCTAAAAAGTAACAAAACGCAGATGTAAAAGACAAACGTTAGGAAAATTGAATGCAAAATAGACTTACGCTGTGTCGGAGCAGCACCTGAGTCCAACAGGCGGAGAGAAGAAACTGCTGAAGCACTCGGAGAACCGTGACCACCACATTCACCAGTATGCTGGGATGTTGGAAGAAGCAAGTCCTGGGACGGTTCAGCCAGGTTGGACCCGAAATGCTAAAAATCCACAATGCCTCCTTCTCTTCATGTGCCTCCTGTTACTGCTTCCCAGGCTGCAGTTCCTTATGCGTATGTATTTGTTTTGAGCCAAGCCCTTGCTGAGTCAGCCACGTCAGAAACTGGGTTTTACACTATTGGTAATTGCCAGGATTGCAGGAAGTAGGTGTGTGGAGTGGCAAAGCATCAGCCCACACTCTGCCTGAGGAGAAAGCAAGCTTCCTTAGAGGCATCCAGATTGCTTGAGAACTGTCAATGTGAATACTGACTTGTAGCCCACCTTGAATCAGGCTGTTTCTTCTCTTGGTGCTCTCCCTTCTGCCACTTCTGATGGCTTGTTGTATCAGCAGGGCTCCCAAATGAGGTTGGAAATAATCTTTTGTCTGTTAAATTTAAATCCAGAGTGTGAGGTAGCGATTCAGGTTTGTATGGGTGATTCATCTGCATGAGTCGCATGTAGACTATTTCATTCAGCCAAGCAAATGACAGTAAGTATCTGTGGTTAGTGGACAGGAACTTTGAAGAAGCCTAGTTCTGCCACTGAAGGGTGATACAGTCTGGTGCTTTCTCACATACAGTGAAAATCTGTGCTGTGCAGTACTGAAGGGTTATTTCATTCATGCGGCTCCTAACATACCAATTATGGCATGTTAGTCTCTTTAATTTCCCAGTCTAAGTTTCTCATCTGTTGTGGCCTTCTATTTTGTCCTTGCAGCTAGACACTCTGCAGCTGGAAGAACCACTTTGCTGGCACATGATAACAAATTTGCACTTGCCCCATTTTCATGCAGAATCTTACTTAGCTATTCTATTGCCTTTTCATCCCTTCTATTTTCTATTTAAGATGTCCTTAAATCACAACTAAATCTAGTTCCTAGAAAAATGAACGTGAGATTTTTTTTTTCATTCACCTTACGTCAAGATGCTTTTATTTCTACCTGAACTGTCAAGCAAATGAGATGGATGTTTCCAAGCATTGCAGTGCTTTGAATACATCCGAAATAGTAAGGCCACCTACTAATGTTAAATGGCTTTTGAAAGCAGAGTGCCAAAACCACCACTTTGCTCTGTGATAGCAGCTGTCATCTGCTGCCTACATTTATTAGGTAGAGTCTGCAATCAACTTAGTTGACGTGACAGTTGCTACCACGCACAGCAGAAAGGCTCCAAGAGCTTTTGAGAACTAAAACAGTCTTGTGTCAGGTTTGGCAACACACCTGGTCGTTTTCTTTCTGCAGTTGTTTCCATGACTGAACCACAGAAAGGTTTGATTTTTTTTTTTTAATGGCATTAGCCGTTGTAACGGATGAAGCGTATACTGGACTTTGGTGCACAAAGTGCACCAGTGTTGTACTTGCAGAGCAAGTCTGTCATATAAAATAACCAGCCACAGCGAGGCAAGCCATGTTTCCCCATCCAACATCATTGTGAACAGGGAGTAGCTCCAGCAGCAAGAGGGTAATTCATGCTCCCTGTCTGTCCCACTCTATCTCGTCAGCAACACTTATGAAGCAGGCTATTTTCTGTAGGCCAGGCAGCTTTCGCACCTTACCTGATTTCTCTGGGGTCATACCGCTATGAACCACCTTCCTGACTCAAACGAGCGTGTTGTGAGTGTGATTTATGGAGAGGGGGGCTGGGATATATACTGTCCTTGACAGGTTGCCTTTGTTTTCCGCTCCTAGGCGTCAGTGGTATCGGAACGGGATTACGAGAGCCTGGTGATGATGCGGATGCGCCAAGCAGCAGAGAGGCAGCAGCTTATTGAACAGCTCAAGCGGGAAGAAGAGGAGGAGTCTCACACCTAGCATGAGAGAGTATGGATTCTCCCCACCCCATCATTCTTCATTTCCAAAGCTGTTTCTTAATTTAAGTCAATAAACCTCCTTTTTTAAAACTGCTGTAGGAATACAAGTTCTCAGTGATGGCAGCCCTTATCCCTTTCTAGAGTGAGGATAAAAAAATGGCTGCATAAGCTTCAGAGTAAGTGTATTGACCTGTCAGTCTGTGTACTCAGAGCAGCTGCCTAGTCACAGAGGATGTGGTGTGAGAGGTGCTGTCAGAAAACCAAACCTTGGAGCTTCTTTTAGCTCCTGAAAGCTTGTTCAGGAGCTGTGGGTTCAGGAGGCTTTGGCAACAACTGTTTAAAACAACTCACAGAAAGACATTGGTCTCTTTAGAGAAATGTTTTATTGGTGTTACCCCTACGGCAGGATTGATAAATACACAGTCCCAAACAATCCAGCATTGCAACTGCTGCTGTTAAGATTACAGAGCCTATACCCGAAATGTTCACAAGACCTTTCTGTGCTGCTCTAAGGCTGTTTCAGAAACAATGTGTTACACTTGAATGGCACTCTTGGGGCTGAAAGTCTGATGATGCTGCTAACCACAATCCCATTGGGGAGAGAAATCGGCCTTGCTGCCGACTGAAGGGATTCTCAAGGAGCACTGTGCAGGTTTAGCAGTTCCTGCTTGCGGGTCAGGGATGAGATAGCATGCCATCCATGCTTGGCCTCCCCTCCCTACCCACCACGGCCTGGGAGGAAGGCATGCCCTGAACTCTCACAGCTCAGCATGTACCTCTCTGGGGCGGCCCTGAAGAACAGCCAGACAAGTCTGTTATTTGAGCTTCCGCCAATGCATGTTAAATAGGAGATGATTAAAATGTAAAAAGATGGTATTTGCCAGACTGCCATTCAGATGAATGCAGAGATGGAGCCATCTGTTCTCTGTGCGTGATTTCCTCTGGACTGGGCATACCTTCCTCCCCCCAGTCTTGTGAAATGGCAGGGGTGGTAAGTTTCCATTGGGTCAAGTTCTGCCTCTACACCACTCCTCCCCCCATGCCCGAGTGCCTGGAGTCTGGGACAGAAAGGAATTAAGGGGAAAATGTTTGCTGTCACTCCTGTGCAAGATGATCCCCAGCAGGATAGCGTCTGGGAGGAACGCAGCAGTCTTCCTCACTATTCCTTGTGGAGGCACCACACCAATGTCTGGCCCACGCCTGTCATGCTCACCACCCGGTAACCACAGCTCTCCAGCTTGTTCAAGACTATCCGCGGTGCATCGTTCACGTAGTACTCCCAGCTGCAAGGAGGAAAGGGGAGAAGAAATAAAATGAGGTGGAGAAGGAAGAGACAAGAATTTCCTTGTGGAAATGACTCTGCCTCACTACTAAACTGATACAAGACACAGCAATAACCACATCGGCATACCGTCTGTGTGATGCAATGTCTTGGTTAACCAGATGGGGAAGGCCAAAACCCACAGCTACCAAACCAAGGAGAAAGCCTGTCCAAAATGAAAGGGTTATGTTAAATGGAAACGTGGTTTGGGGACCGGTTGTCCAAAGCCACATGCTGCTCGGTTAACTGGGCTGAAACTGCAGCAGAGGGGGTTCCCAAGTATTCACAGCAGGGAATTCGTGGAAAAAGAGGATAATCTCTGCAAAGCAGGGGAGAATGATTTAGGTGTTCCTAAGGAATGAAAAAAACAATGTTTTGCCTGTGTCAGAGCATGTCAGTAGAAGGGGTGTTTTTGAGAGCCTGTCCTTGAAATTTGGGAATTGGAAAAAAATGCTGCCTTCAGCCATTCAAAAGTATTAAGCTTTTGAAAAACCAGAAGTCATCAGTCCTCAACAGAGCTGCCAAATAAGGTGGAGCACAGGCTCCTCTCTACCCCGGCTGTTCAGAGCAGTTGCACGCTGTGGATGTCTAGGAACTGACACTGGGGATCTCTGTCCAGTTTTTATTCCTCTATGGTTTCTGCTGGCTCTGTGCATTTGGAGCAGAAGCTGTCCTTCCCTCTGCCTGATCCCTGAGGCTGCTTTTCTGCAGAAGACTTGAGGGCTGTGAGACTGCTCCCACCGTAAAGAAAACAGACAGTGACTGCAGAGTGGAAGAGTAGCGCAGTACAGACACAAAATGGGCTGAATTAAGTGGGGAAGTAGCAGAGCTGAAATGGCAAGTACAACCTTCAGTGCTGGATTTGGCAGCCTTTCTGTTCCTTTAATGCAGTCTTTTTGGATGCAGTATTTATTCAAGCAGATGGGATAAGCTTCATAATAGTTTAGCTCTTAGATGACTCACTGTGCCAGATAAGCTGGTAATGATGGGCTACAGGATCACTGGTGATCTTGTTTGGGCACCTTAACAAAAACTCTCCTGATTTTCATACTAATAGCAATAAATAAAGACCCAAAAGCATTTCCAAAGTTGGTCTTGCTAAGATTGCAAAACATTAATGGAGTAGTGAGTGCTTTTAAAGCATGAAATAACGCCAAGATGTGAAAGCTTTTTCTCAGTTTCTCAAGACAGACTATACTTTGCTATAATTATAGATGTGGTGTAAAGATAATATGTATTATTATAAGTGTCTTTGAACTTAATGCTTTCTCTAAGA